AAAAAAAGTCTTCCAATGCATGGAAAGAATATTTTTCTCCATCTACTGCAGTCTTGAATTTCTCTGAGTGATGTTTTATAATTTTTGTGTAGTACTCTAGCACATCTGGGTTAGATTTATTCTTAAATATTTGATGTTTTGGTACTGTTTTTAATGACATTTGAAATCTCATATTCTAATTTTTTGTTGCTATTAATTATACGGAAATGCCGTTGGTTTTTATTATATCTAGTAAGTTGACTAAATTTGCTTATTAAACATAATGATTTTATTCTTCTGCATTTTCTATGTACAGAACAATGTCATCTGTGAATATTGACAGTTTTATTTCTTTCCAAATTTTAAACCTATTATATTTTCCTGATGCTACTGCTCTTTTAGAACCTCCAGTAAATTGTTGAATGGATAGTGGACATCTTTGTCTTGTTTTCACACTCAGGGAGAAAATACTGATACGTCACTATGAAATATGACATTTACAATTTTTTTGTACATATGCTAACCAGAATAGGAAAGTTGCCCTTTTTTCTAAGTTGGTGATAGTTTTTATCACGAATGGACTTTAAACATTGACCCATGTATGAAAATGATCATGTGGTTGTTTCCCTGTTTTTGTTGTCATCATTGTTAATGTGGTGCATTACATTTATTGATTTTCAAATGTTAAATCAATGTTGTCTTTCTGCAATATACTCCACCATGGCTGATGTATGTCCTTTTTAAGTACTATTGCGTTTTATTTGCTCACCTTTAATTTGGAATTTTTGTGTCTAAGTTCAGGGGTGATCTTGGCTTGTATTTTTGCCTTGATCTTGTAGTTTTTCTTTCTTCTAAAGTCCTTGTCAGATGTTGTTATCAGTTTTTTATCAGTCTTCTAATAAGAGTTCCTAATAAGGGTTAATACAGATTGGTTTATACATCTATTTGAATATATAAGTATAAATACTTATATATTAAATATATATGATGTATAATATAATGTATAATATATATAATTTAAAACATAATGTATAGTAAGGGTTAATACAGATGGCTTTATACATCTATTTTTCCTAATAAGGGTTAATACAGATTGGCTTACACATCTTCAAATAGGTAATAATATTTTCATCTGTTTTTGGTTGATGACAGCTGCTTATTCCACAAGCATTCTGACTGATTTGGTTATACCAT